AGGGATGCGAGGTCAATGGTCTAACGACTACGGCATGCACGACTATGAGTACACCCCCCCCTCCCCCGCTCGCACCTCCTGTGCGTTTTTTCCGCCGCATTGCAGGACCGCGAAATCATGCGCAAGGACCCGCACAAGCTGGTAGAGGGCTGCCTGCTCGCCGGCTACGCGATGCGCGCCCGCGCGGCGTACATCTACATCCGCGGGGAGTACTTCAACGAGGCCGTAGTGATGGACGAGGCCATCCACGAGGCCTACCAGGCGAGCTATATGCTATGCTATGCTACTCTACGCTATGCTACTCTAACATAATTTGTGTCATCTGTCTTTTAGATGGTGTTGCATGCTGCTACCGGGGGAGCTGTGCTATGCTATGCTACGCTATGTTACGCTATTCTATGCTACGCTATTGTAGTGTAACATGATTTCGTGTCGTCTGCTTTTTCGATGGTGCCCCATGCTGCTACGCGGTTGTACTCTTGACATGATTTTTGGTATCATCTGTTTTTCACATGGTGTCCTATGCCCCGATGAATCTACCCAAAAAACGATTCTACAAGGCACGCGTTTGTGTCACCGTTTTGTAGAGGGTTTCCGGTGCTGCTACGTGGCGAGCTATGCTACGCTACGATACGCTACACTATGGAACGCTACTCTACGCTTCGTATTGTACTCTGAACACGAGTTTTTGTCCATCTGCTTTTTGGAAGGTTTCCCATGCTGCTACAATAAGCTACTCTACCAAGTAGACACGCTTTGTGTGTCATCTGTTTGTTTCATGATGTCCCATGCTTCTACCCGGCGAGCTATGCTGCTCTACCACTGTTTGTTATATTTTTTTCGATGGTGTCGCAGAGCTGCACCTGTTGTTTCTCTGCAAACACATACAGTTTTTCAAGCTCTCTACTTTTTCATGGCTGTGACTTTGCTCTCGCATGTTGGTCTGGTTTTTGTCTATGGGCACACGCTGCTACAAAGCGAGGTGGTCAGGGTCTTTCCCCGACCCTTTATTCTGAACCTGGGATCTCTTGTCCTTTCGCGTGGCTCGTGTCGTTTCGAAATGAAACCGTCGGTCTTTCAGAAAGGCTTCCTCGGTAAGAACGCCTGCGGCTCCGGCTACGACTTCGACGTGTACCTCCACCGTGGGGCGGGTGCCTACATCTGCGGCGAAGAAACCGCTCTCATCGAGAGCCTCGAGGTGCGTGCGCTCGGCACTTCGGCGGTCACGTAGGTTTCCCAGGGGTTTTGCGATTATGTAAACGTGTTCGATAAGGCATGCAATCGCGCAAGTAAGCTGGGTTTGGGATTATAACGTCTGCGCATCCCCCTCCCTGTTGTGTTTTTCCTCACAAGACTTGTTTTGTCGCAAAGGCTGTAACGGCAGCAGCGACAGCAGCCGCTGCACGTGTCTATGTCTTTCGAACACGAACTATGGCGAGAAGGCTAAGGCGACACATCAGCAGTTTTTCCCCGTTCTCGATGCACTCGCCAGTATCATCCTTCCATCGCCGCCCCTGCTTGCGCAGAGGCCGGCCTATGTGCCATGATATTTCCTTGCGACACCCCGTCCCCGTGGATGTTCTTGTCAACATCGCTCGTACGCGTGGCACCCCCTTTTGAGCCACCTTTCTCGTTGGCAAAGTAGGAAGGAACGATTGGCCATCGGCAATCGGTCCCGTGCGAATAATGCCTCGTCCTCTCGAGGACGCGCGGTCAATAGTCTGTCCGCTAGGGCATGCAAAACGTAGGAGTAAGACCCCCCCCCCCCCTCCCTATCTCCTTCATGCGACTCGCCGAATACCTCGAGGCGCTTCGCGCTTGGTGATGTGAGAGCCTGGTCCGGTGAGAACCCGGCGTGCTCCATCCCGGCTTCGAGGTCAATTGTCAACCACTACGGCATGCACGACTGTGAGCAACCCCCCCCGCCCCCCCTCCATCTCACCGACTGCGATGTCGTGCAGGGCCGCCAGGGCAAGCCGCGCCTGAAGCCGCCGTTCCCGGCTAACGTTGGCGTGTTCGGCTGCCCGACCACGGTCACCAACGTTGAAACCGTCGCAGTTGCGCCGACTATCCTCCGCCGCGGCGCGAGCTGGTTCGCGAGCTTTGGGCGCAAGGTATAACCGCGTGTGTTTTTGAATGTGTTTTTCTTGTTAGCATCGACCGCGCTCACCGGTTGACCAATGAATAAACGTTACAACAGACTTGTGTGTGTTTAGCTTCACCTTCTTTTGTTGGCCATCGCGCCCTTGGCGTTTGGGCAACAGCGAAGGCCTCTGTTTTAGTTTGGTGGTGTTGCCTTTGCTGTCTTCGATGGACAGACGAGGTGGGGGGATATGCAGCAGGAACGTGGATGCCTCCCCGGGTTGATGTTGGCCGGGTGGACCCTCTCGGGTGATACACCAGTACTTGCCTGTGTCTCTGGAAAGGGATTCCCGCCCTCGATACCATGGAGTCTCATCCGTTCGGTTGTGTTTGCGGGATGCTCGTGGCGCAACGTGGCTATTTGACTGCCTTGTTTCCGCAGGAAAGCTCTTCTCACGATTGCAGCTCTATCCGTACAACATTGTCCATGTCTTCTTCCTCGGGAAGCAATAAAAACACTGCTCTACCAGAAACGCTACGCGTGATCGGTTGTGGCGTTCATTCGGAAGTGGCGCTGTTCGATCCTTGATTCTACCGCACCTCCGCTAGTAGCCAGAGCCAGTCACGTGTACGTGTGCAATGCCCCGCTTGACCAACGCTCAGTTTTTGTGACTGGAAGTTTGCCTCGGTGGAAGCAGCTCCAAGAATACACGGCCTCGCTGATGTTTCGTGTCTCGCATGCGCGGCTGTGTGCCATCAGCACCTCCGGTTCAGCCAAAGCCTCCGCCATCATCGTTCGCCACCGTGGATATCCTTGCCCCAGCTAGTCCTTGCACCGCTGCTTGACAATGCTCCGGCCTCCCGGGGACTCTGTCAAGTGGTCAGACACAGCTAAGGCATGCGAAACACGAATACCCCCCCGCTGTCCGTCCTCTCGAGGACACATGGTCAAGTGGAGGCGCGTGGTCAATGGTCTAACCGTTAGGGCATGCAGAACATGAGCCCCCCCCCCCCCCCCCCCCCCCCCCCCCCCCCCCCCCCCCCCCCCCCCCCCCCCCC